TGTATTTATTGGTTTCCCTTTTCTTTGTTGAAGAGGGTCTGTGCAATCCTTCTGCCTAGTCTGCCATCTTGCCCCGCCTCTCACAACTTTGATAGATTTCAAAGGCATTATGCTGAGGAATAAATCCATTCCCAAAAGATCACAAAGGATAGAACCCATTTATGTAACATTCTCAAAATCACAAAATTGTAGAGATGTAAAACAGATTAGTGGCAGCCATAGGTCAAGAACGATGTGGGGAGAGCACTGTAGGTGTGACTATAGAGGGGTACATCATGAGGAAAATCTGTGTGATGATGGAATAGTCTCTGGATGAAGGTAGTGATTACACAAATCTACATATGTGATAAAATGACAAATGACCATATACACACATTATGACAATGTCAGATTCCTCATTTTGATATTAAACTATAATGATGTAAGAAGAAAACATTGGTGGACACTAGATGAAAGGTACATGGGATCTCTGTGTGCTATCTCTGCAACTTATTGGGAATGTATACTCAATTTTTTTTTAAAAAAAGGTAAACGAAGTTGAATAGAAATATAAGAAAGTAACTTATTCTTCAATTATTAACAGAAAGATTATGATTATATTAAAATGAAGCAGATATTTAAAACCAAAATATATAATTAGTAAAACTATGTTTGTAAATAATATAAAATCTGTGGAGGAGTTATATATATCAGTGTACATTTAGTTATAAAATTTAGTGCTTACCTTAGATTTGTCATCACCTGAAGCTCTTGTGGCTTCACTCAGAGGGACTGCTCCATGTTCCTTTGCCTCTCTGAAAAGCTCATTCACAATTTTCCCAGTTGAAGGTCGAACTATATGTAATGCACTGTATTCATGTTCACTTGAATAGAACCTTTAAACATTGAAGTTCAGGAATAAATACTAGGAATAACAGACATAAACTACTTTAAAGTAAAAAGCCACATATCTATATGAAATAACTTTTATTTTAAAAAGACATTTCTATAATTTCTATAGAACACTTAATTTTAAAATGCTATTACAGAAAAGGTTAAATAGTAACTAGTGTATATACTTTTTCAAGCTATTTGCAGAGATTACGGTAGTGAGTTGAGGATCAAGCATGAGAATTGGCTTGCTTTCTTCTTCCTTATCTGGCTCCTCCCTCTGTAAATGTTTATCAAATGCATCTCTATCACAACTTACATGTGCCTAAGGCATTTGACAGCTAACCAGAAGGCTGGCGGGTCAAACCTTGGAAGCTACTCCTTGGAAGACAGGAGGACTGGGAAATCTACATCTGTTGTGATACCACTTTGGAAACTCAAGGAGGGGTCGCTAACAACTTGTCAAATCAACTCAACAGCAGTGAGTTTGGTTTAGTTTTTGAGGGAAAAACAAAGTTGACAACCAGAAGCTAATCTCTTCCCCTAAGGACTTACATTCAGCAGGGACCTAGTCAGTGAAGTAGCCTATCAATTCAGATAGTGTTAAGGTCTAAATCAATACCACAACAATGCACATCAAAGGTTTACTCCTCAGAGAATACTGAATTGAAAAAACTCCATTATACCAACTATGTTAAGGTAAAATAATTTGGACCAAAACAATTTTTTTCAGTGTACTGGCTATGTCACCAATTTCTACTTTTCAACTTCATAAATGGTTGCTAGAAAACCTAAAAATTTTCTTTATATAACATTATTGTTGTTAATTGCTATAGGATGATTCCGACTCATAGTGACTCCATGTGTGCAGAGAAGTGCTCCACAAGTTTTCAAGGCTGTGACTTTTTGGAAGCAAATTGCCAGTCCTGTTTTCCAATGCATCTCTGGAGGGTCTGAACCACCAACATTTCAGCTAGTAGTTGAGTGCTTAACAGGAGCTCTGGTAGCATAGTGCCTAAGGCACTTGACTGCTAACCAGAGGCTGGCGGTTCAAACCCACCAGCCACTCCTCAGAAGGAAGGTTGGGCATTCCTACTTCCGTAGTGATACTGCCTCGGAAACCCAAGGAGGGGTCGCTATGAGTCGGGGCCGACTCGATGGCAAATAGCAACAACAATAACAAGGAATCCTTTACATAAGATTAGCAGTACCCTATTTTAATCCTTCAAGAACGTTTTCAATCAAGAATATAAAAAAAATATAACCAATAAAATATAAAATATCAACGTGGAAAGTTCTAGTGTAAGATAACCACCAAGGTCTCATGTTTAACTATCCATACCCTCTAATACAGTTTCAAGTTTCCACTGAACTGACTCAAACAGGGGGGAAGGCATTATACCAGCACTGCTCACTAGGAATGGAGGTCACCCTAAAGATATTCTCTAAAATTAGTCATGCAAATGTGATGATTCAAAAAAGGTTAAAGAACCACTGTGTCCAAGAAAAACACTATTTAGGATATAGTTTCACATGAAGGCTACTAAAATGATAGGTATTTAAGATAATTCTTCTGTTTCTCCTAGCTTTCTATGAACGTTTTAGGTGGCATAGTCGTTAAGTTCTTGGCTGATACCTAAGTTTAAACTCTGCTTCCATAAAGATTAAAGTCTTGGAAATCCTATGGGGCAATTCTACTCTGACCTATAGGATCTCAATGAGTTGGAATTGACTCAACAGCGACAGGTCTGATTTTGGGTTTTTCATCTAAATATTTATTTTAAGAAATTATATATTTTTTTAAGATTCCCAAAGCTATTTTATAAAACTTGGGATTAGTGAACTAAAAAGGGTTACATTTTTCAAAACAAAATAAAATTTACCTTTGAGGTGGTGTTCGTGGGCTTTTAAAGATTGCAGCTTTAGGTCTATCACTCTTGAAAGATTTGGCTTTCATTTCATCTTCATATAATCCTGCCAAGGCCAACTACATAACAACAGGCTTATTATAACATGTAACACTAGGAATAAAGTCTTTTGCATAAACAGAAGTTATGAATAGAACATTAACTTTTAATCAAGTGATAAAGATTTCTCATGAAAAAACAAAAGCTGTTATTTCAGAAGATGGCTCCCTTCTGAAATAGTCACTGCAGCTTTCATTTCATTGTAGAACTAACAAAATACAGGCATCACCTGCTTTTTGAAAGTTCACTTTATGTCATTTCACTTTTACAAAAGACCTACATTAGTACCTGTGGTGGTTATGATTTTGTGTCAACTTGGCTGGGCCTGGTTGAATGGCTGGGCAGCTGGTGGTACTTATTCCCCATGATGAGACTAGTAATCAACTCCATGGTGGGACCTACCACAAGCAGCTGAGTAGCTGCTTTGGGTCTGTGGTCTGCTTCCCGAATATAAGAAACAGCTTTGGGAATGGTCTTTAACATATGGCATGCTTGGACCCCGCATGTAGCTGTGTCATTGTTCAGCAGCATGCCATGCTCTGCTGACCTTGGGACTTACAATGAACTTGAATTAATGGCCTGCCATGGTAATATTGGGATTGTGCCTTTTTACCTGTCAACCTTAGGGCTTCTCAGACTCAGCAGCCAGCAGCTGTCTGAGTGAAGAAAAGCCTCTAGCTCCAGTGGGCTGGGAACTGGAGGCAGAGCTGAAGTCAAAGGCTGAGGGGCTATCATCTAGCCCCTAGAGCCTGGCACTTGGAACTAAGACTTAAAGCCTCCAAATTGTAAGAGAATAAACTCCTGCTTGTTAAGGCCATTCCCATTTGTGATATATTCTTGTCAAAGTGGCACTACGTAACCAGGACAGTACCTGATTTCACTAATCAAAAGAAATTTGAAGACCATTTTCAGTTATTCGAAAAAAGGCCAAAAGTGAAACTAGCATTCAGCTTTTGTTTTGCACTGAGTCGTTAAGGAGGGAGTGTGCATCTCTAGCAGCAAGAGTGGCATCACAAAGCTCCTTTGTGGAGGAACTACACTCTGACTCTCAGTAGCAAGTTGTCACACCTTTGAAATGTGTCTGTGAACACTGTATGTTAGTGTTATGTTTGGTCTTAAATGTTTGTTCTACCACTTGTCAGTCAGTGTGTCACACTGGAATGGCATGTGTGTTACTTTGAAGCTGGAAGCTATGCCCCTGGTATTGCAATACCAGCAGGGTCACTCATGGTGGATAGGTTTCAGTGGAGCTTTCAGACTAAGATAGACTCAGAAGAAGGAAAGGGCCATCCATTTCTCAAAGAATTGGCCAGTGAAAACCTTATGAATAGCAGTGACACACTTTCTGATATATTACTAGAAAACATTATGAATAACTGAAACATTGCTTGATGTAGTACTGGAAAATGAGCCCCTCAGGTTAGAAGGCTCTCAAAATATGACTGAGGAAGAGCTGTCTCCTCAGAGTAGAGCTGATCTTCATGATGTGGATGGAGTAAAGTTTTTGCAACATCCATTTGCTGATGGGGCACAACTCAAAATGGGAAGAAATAGTTGCAAACATCCATTAATAATCAGAAATGGAATGTACAAATTATGAACGTAGGAAAATTGGAAGTTGTCAAAAATGAAACAGAACACATAAAAGTCAGTATCCTAGACATTAGTGAGCTGAATTGGATGGGTTTCAGCCATTTTGAATCGGACAATCATATGGTGTACTATGCTGAGAATGACAAATTGAAGAGGAAGGCATGGCATTCATCATCACAAAGAATGTTTCAAAATTGATCCTGTAGTAAAATGCTGTCAGTGATACGATAATATCCACATACCTACAAAGAAGACCAGTTAATGCTACAACTATTCAAATGTATGCACCAACCCCTAAAGCCAAAGACAAGGAAACTGAACATTTTTTACCAACTTCTGCAGTCTGAAATTGACCAAACACACAATCAAGATGTATTGATTATTACTAGTGACTAGAATGTGAAAACTGGAAACAAGGAAGAATCACCAGTAGTTGGAAAACAGGGTCTTGGTGATAGCAATGATGCCGGAGAGTGCTTGCAGAATTTTCCAAGACCAACAACTTACTCACTACAAACACCTTTTCCAACAACATAAACGGTGGCAGTAGACATGGACCTTGGCAGATGGAATACACAGGAATCAGATCGACTACATCTGTGGAAGAAGGCAATGGAGAAGCTCAGTATCTTCAGCCAAAACAAAGCCAGGAATTGACTGTGGAACACACCACTAATTGCTCATAGGCAAGTTCAAGTTGAAGCCGAATACAATTAAAACAAATCCACAAAGCCAAAATATGACCTTGATTATATCCCACCTGAGTTTAAAGACCATCTGAAAAACATATTTGAGGCACAGAACAATGATGGAAAACAAGACAAACTGGGATGACATCAAGGACATCACACACGAGGAAAGCAAAAGGTCATTAAAAAGACAAGAAAGGAAGAAAAGACCAAAATGGATGTCAGAAGAGACTCTGAACCTTGCTCTTGGAGAGTAGCTAAAGCAAATGGAGGAAATGCCAAGATGAAAGAGCTGAAGAGAAGATTTCAAAGAGTAGCTTGAGAAGACAAAGTCAATTATTATAATGAAGTGTGCAAAAACCTGGAGTTAGAAAACCAAAAGGGAAGAACATGCCCAGCATTTCTTAAGCTGAAATAACTGAAGAAACAATTCAAGCCTCAAGTTGTACTGAAAGATTCTATGGGCAAAATATTGAATGATACAGGAAGCATCAAAAGAAGATGGAAGGAATACACAGAGTCATTGTGAAAAAAAGAAGTGGCTGATGTTCATATACTTCAGGAGGTGTTATGTGATCAAGAACCGGTAGTATTGAAGGAAGAAGTTGAAGCTGCACTAAAGGAACTGGTGAAAAACAAGGCTCCAGGAATTGACGGAATACGCATTAAGATGTTTCAACATGGATGCCACGCCGGAGGCACTTATTCATCTATGCCAAGAAATTTGGAAGACACCTACCTGACCAACTGACTGGAAGATATTTGTACCCATCCCAAAGAAAAGTGATCTAAGAGAATGTGGAAATTACTGAACAATATCATTAATATCACATGCAAGTAAAATTTTGCTGAAGATAACTCAAAAATGGTTGTAGCAGTATATTGACAGGGAACTGCCAGAAATGCAAGCTGGATTCAGAAGAGAACATGGAATGAGGCCTATCATTGCTGATGCCAGATGGGTGTTGGCTGAATGCAAAGAGCACCAGAAAGATATTTACTTGTGTTTTATTGACTATGCAAAAGCATTTGACTGTGTGGATCAGAGCAAATTATGGATAACATTGAAAAGAATGGGAATTTCAGAACATTTAATTGTGTTCACAAGGAACCTGTATATAGACCAGGAGGTTGTCATTTGAACAGAACAAGGGGATACAGCATGGTTTAAAATCAGGAAGGGTGTGTGTCAGGTTGTATCCTTTTGCGATACTCACTCAATCTGTATGCAGAGCAAATAATCTGAGAAGCTGGTCTATATAAAGAAGAATGTGGCATTAGGATCGGAAGAAGAATCATTAACTACCTGTAATATGCAGATGACACAACCTTTTCTTGCTGAAAATGAAGATAACGTGAAGCAGTTACTGATGAAGATTAAAGACTACAGTCTGCAGTACACATTACACCTCAACAACCTGAGATACGCAGACCATACAACTTTGCTTGCTGAAAGTGAGGATGACTTACGGCACCTACTGATGAAGGTTGAAGAATACAGTCTGCAGTATGGATTACGTCTCAATATAAAGAAAACAAAAATCCTCACAACTGGACCAATGAGCAGCATCACAATAAATGGAGAGAAGATTGAGGTTGTCAAGGAATTCACGTTGCTTGGTTCTACAATCGATGCCAACAGAAGCAGCAGTCAGGACATTAGACGACGTGTAGCATTGGGAAAGTCAACTGCGGAGGAACTGTTTCAAGTGCTGAGGAGCAAGGATATCTCCTTGAAGACTAAGGTGTGCCTGACACAAGCCATGATATTTCCAATCGCCTCGTATGCATGTGAGAGCTGGACAATGAATAAGGAAGACCGAAGAAGAGTTGATGCTTTTGAGTTGTGGTGCTGGCGAAGAATGCTGAAAGTCCCATGGACTGCTAAAAGAACTAACAGATCTGTCCTGGAGGAAGTGCAGCCAGAATGCCCCTTGGAAGCAAGAATGGCCAGACTTCGTCTCACCTATTTTGGTCATGTTGTAAGAAGGGACCATTCCCTGGAGAAGGATGTCATGCTTGGTAGGGTGGAGGGTCGACGAAGGAGGGGGAGGCCTTCAATGAGATGGACTGACATGGTGGCTGCAATGATGGGCTCAAGTATAGCAGGGATTGTGGGGCTGGCACGGGATTGGGCAGTGTTTCGTTCTGCTGTGCATGGGGACGCTATCAGTCGGAAACGACTCGACAACACTTAACAACAACAACAACAACAACAATTTCAAAAAATGAATTAAGTAACAAACTGTTCTCAAACTGGGCCCTTAAATAATAATACTGCAATTCTTTCAAAAAATACTTTAAGATTCTTCACACTAATGTCAGCTTGCTCTTGTTTTATCTCATAAAATCATTTCATTCAGCTGTTTTAAGTTTTTTAAATCCAAGCACATAAAATAATATCAAAATTATTCTATTTAAAAGTCTACCAGATATAAGGACTTCTGGTAAGATGGCGGAACAGGCAGACAAGCTACACAGACCCTCTTCAACAAAGACAATGAGAAACCAATTGACACAGATACAGAAGATAATCCTGGAGCCCTGAGCTTTGAAAGGAACTAAAAAGAAATGCATTAGGTACCAACTAGTGGAAAAACCTGAATGAAAACAGTGAGTACGGAAACGGACAGAGTTACGGACTGTCAGCTACTCTGACAGTACCAAGTGATGTTGGGACCTGAGAAGTGACCTAAAGATTAGCCGTGGTTGCCCACAGCTGCAGGGATGACTGTGCT